GCACAAGCTGCAGCAGTGCATTAGTTTAGAACGGTGATTATCTTACCTGTACAATAAGCTGTTTAAAACGTGGATTTTCCTGTTCAGTTTCGAGCATTCAGGTGGTATAATCACACGTCTTGTGGAGATGTATTTGGAGTATGCATTTATTCATCATTTTAACAGTTTGGAGCATAAATGAGAACTTAAAGATTTCTTATTCTTTTGCAACCTCTATAGGACCAGCGACAAGTCGACATCAAGCTTAAAGCATCATGGCAGAGGATTAAAGCCGACTAATCAACTAGTTGACTAGTCTGTGCATCACCTAGTGTTGACGTGACCGTTATCCGCAGCCTGGATGTGGCATACCCCAACAGCGGTAGGGTTTGCTGGCACCTCAAACATACTAGCATGGAAAACATTATTGACAAGCTGCACTGTACCAGTCAGAGTCTGGCCCATCAGAGTAATATTGTGATCAGTGTCATTATATACCTCAATTGTGATATTTGGAGTCCCTCTTTTAACTTTCTGTCACCATTATTTTATATAGTGCTTTTTATAATGTTGATTGTGTCAAAGCAGCTTTACAGTATTAAACAGGGAAATAGTGTGTCGAAATAGTATACCGTTCTCCTCTGGCCAGATGAAACCAGCAGTTTAAGTCTAGGCTGCAACAAAGTCAGATTGTGCAGAGGACTCATCTGGTTCCCGTGGTCTTGTCCCAATGGCCGTCTAGGTGACGAGGTCTTCGGGGCTCATCTAGTTGTCCTGGTCTCCGTTGAAATTCTGTAATCATGTTATCCATAAAAAAGTAAGGGTTTAAATAATTTTCACATGATATTGTCATCTGAACAAGTAAGCAACAAGTCTGCCACTTTAGTTCTGACCAACTGAGAAAAAAAAAACATTAATCAACAATTAAACAATTAATCACGCTACCAATGGTGATTAAATCTAATGATCGCTTAGCTCATATCACATCAAACAGTGCACATTATTATTATTGTTATACTTTGATCTCTCATTAACAATTTTAAATTGTTAATGCTAACAACATCAGCATTGCGTGACTACGTGTAAATAGTGTGTATTAGCGTTCCCGTGGTCTTGTCCCAATGGCCGTCTAGGTGACGAGGTCTTCGGGGCTCATCTAGTTGTCCTGGTCTCCGTTGAAATTCTGTAATCATGTTATCCATAAAAAAGTAAGGGTTTAAATAATTTTCACATGATATTGTCATCTGAACAAGTAAGCAACAAGTCTGCCACTTTAGTTCTGACCAACTGAGAAAAAAAAAACATTAATCAACAATTAAACAATTAATCACGCTACCAATGGTGATTAAATCTAATGATCGCTTAGCTCATATCACATCAAACAGTGCACATTATTATTATTGTTATACTTTGATCTCTCATTAACAATTTTAAATTGTTAATGCTAACAACATCAGCATTGCGTGACTACGTGTAAATAGTGTGTATTAGCGTTACTTGTAGGTTTTACATTTCTGTACAGTCTAATCTTTACCATTCAAATTTAATATTGAAATTTCATAATTTCATCAAGAAATTGTTCTTTTTACCCAAAAAGCAAATTTTTGTTCCTTAGAACTGACTCTCTTGGAAATACAAATCTTGTGTAATCCCACGTATCTGGGATGCACATTTAAAACAGGAATATAATCTAATTTCAGTCACTTACATGCGTTTCATTAACACATAATCCTTTGTGGATTACAGTCCGCTATCAAAATTATATTAATTATTCTAGCTGCTGTGAGAAACGGCTATAAATAATCCGCCACCTGCAGCATCCTCACAAGTAATATGTTCTTCTTTCTGTTTACAGACTTGACGTAATGATGCAAAGACGAATGGCGGCATGCTTGTATTTCCAGTGAAAACCTACCAGTACCACTCAAACTAGAAAACATTACAAACTTACCATTGTGAATTGGGCTAAGGTAAGGAGATAGTTTTAAACAATGGCTGGTTATGTACTTGCTCAAAAATTTATTTTGGATAATTTTTAACCAAAAAACGTTATGAACTGCAGCTTTAAAATAAAGTGTATCCAAAATTAACTTTGAGCATTTCAAAATGTGATATACTCTAATTACAAGTTCTTCATTTTTTTAATCTGATTATGTAATCCAGATTACTTGTCATCAGTTACTACCAGCACTGCTGATAGGTCAGATGACCTGCCACTCCAGTCAGTGAAGCAACTACTGAACGACTGATCTCCTGAACACACTCACACAAATAAAAATGAATGACAATAAAATCAGCGACTCGTGACACCAGAAGGCAGAAGAACAGAAAACACTGAAAAGTGTTGGAGCTACATGAGGTGAATAATGAAAATCATTTATTGACTGTGATCATTTGAAATGAGAGGTAATTTTGATAGTAATAATGAAAATGACTGATGTGACTCTACATTAAAAACTGAATGACTGATTTCAATCAACACAAACAGAAGTTGAGAAAACCACAGAAACACATCGTCACTCAGCAGGACTCACACACACTGATATTACTGTCAACATAAGGATTTATTACACACATTTATTCTGACATGTTAATTCAGTGACAGAAGTTCAGCTGCAGTATTTATGTCATGAAGAGAAAAGAAGAGACTCTATAACATATCATGGATGATTCATCAATACAGTTTCAATGATGATTCTTTATAAACACCAAACCCAGGATAGAGCGGATGAGTGCATTAATCAACAATTAAACAATTAATCACGCTACCAATGGTGATTAAATCTAATGATCGCTTAGCTCATATCACATCAAACAGTGCACATTATTATTATTGTTATACTTTGATCTCTCATTAACAATTTTAAATTGTTAATGCTAACAACATCAGCATTGCGTGACTACGTGTAAATAGTGTGTATTAGCGTTACTTGTAGGTTTTACATTTCTGTACAGTCTAATCTTTACCATTCAAATTTAATATTGAAATTTCATAATTTCATCAAGAAATTGTTCTTTTTACCCAAAAAGCAAATTTTTGTTCCTTAGAACTGACTCTCTTGGAAATACAAATCTTGTGTAATCCCACGTATCTGGGATGCACATTTAAAACAGGAATATAATCTAATTTCAGTCACTTACATGCGTTTCATTAACACATAATCCTTTGTGGATTACAGTCCGCTATCAAAATTATATTAATTATTCTAGCTGCTGTGAGAAACGGCTATAAATAATCCGCCACCTGCAGCATCCTCACAAGTAATATGTTCTTCTTTCTGTTTACAGACTTGACGTAATGATGCAAAGACGAATGGCGGCATGCTTGTATTTCCAGTGAAAACCTACCAGTACCACTCAAACTAGAAAACATTACAAACTTACCATTGTGAATTGGGCTAAGGTAAGGAGATAGTTTTAAACAATGGCTGGTTATGTACTTGCTCAAAAATTTATTTTGGATAATTTTTAACCAAAAAACGTTATGAACTGCAGCTTTAAAATAAAGTGTATCCAAAATTAACTTTGAGCATTTCAAAATGTGATATACTCTAATTACAAGTTCTTCATTTTTTTAATCTGATTATGTAATCCAGATTACTTGTCATCAGTTACTACCAGCACTGCTGATAGGTCAGATGACCTGCCACTCCAGTCAGTGAAGCAACTACTGAACGACTGATCTCCTGAACACACTCACACAAATAAAAATGAATGACAATAAAATCAGCGACTCGTGACTACCACTCAAACTAGAAAACATTACAAGCTTACCATTGTGAATTGGGCTAAGGTAAGGAGATAGTTTTAAACAATGGCTGGTTATGTACTTGCTCAAAAATTTATTTTGGATCATTTTTAACCAAAAAACGTTATGAACTGCAGCTTTAAAATAAAGTGTATCCAAAATTAACTTTGAGCATTTCAAAATGTGATATACTCTAATTACAAGTTCTTCATTTTTTTAATCTGATTATGTAATCCAGATTACTTGTCATCAGTTACTACCAGCACTGCTGATAGGTCAGATGACCTGCCACTCCAGTCAGTGAAGCAACTACTGAACGACTGATCTACTGAACACTCACACAAATAAAAATGAATGACAATAAAATCAGCGACTCGTGACACCAGAAGGCAGAAGAACAGAAAACACTGAAAAGTGTTGGAGCTACATGAGGTGAATAATGAAAATCATTTATTGACTGTGATCATTTGAAATGAGAGGTAATTTTGATAGTAATAATGAAAATGACTGATGTGACTCTACATTAAAAACTGAATGACTGATTTCAATCAACACAAACAGAAGCTGAGAAAACCACAGAAACACATCGTCACTCAGCAGGACTCACACACACTGATATTACTGTCAACATAAGGATTTATTACACACATTTATTCTGACATGTTAATTCAGTGACAGAAGTTCAGCTGCAGTATTTATGTCATGAAGAGAAAAGAAGAGACTCTATAACATATCATGCATGATTCATCAACACAGTTTCAATGATGATTCTTTATAAACACCAAACCCAGGATAGAGCGGATGAGTGAATGTGGTCTGGACTGTGTGGATGAGGCTCATTGTGTCAGAGACGCTGTAGAAGGAACTCACACAAATAAAAATGAATGACAATAAAATCAGCGACTCGTGACACCAGAAGGCAGAAGAACACAAAACACTGAAAAGTGTTGGAGCTACATGAAATAATGAAAATCATTTATTGACTGTGATCATTTGAAATGAGAGGTAATTTTGATAGTAATAATGAAAATGACTGATGTGACTCTACATTAAAAACTGAATGACTGATTTCAATCAACACAAACAGAAGTTGAGAAAACCACAGAAACACATCGTCACTCAGCAGGACTCACACACACTGATATTACTGTCAACATAAGGATTTATTACACACATTTATTCTGACATGTTAATTCAGTGACAGAAGTTCAGCTGCAGTATTTATGTCATGAAGAGAAAAGAAGAGACTCTATAACATATCATGGATGATTCATCAATACAGTTTCAATGATGATTCTTTATAAACACCAAACCCAGGATAGAGCGGATGAGTGAATGTGGTCTGGACTGTGTGGATGAGGCTCATTGTGTCAGAGACGCTGTAGAAGGACAGAGTTCCTGCACTGTGATCCACATACACTCCTATTCTACTGCTGATGGGCTTTACACGGAGAACAGTCACCATGTTATTGTGTGTGAATGAGTAACCGGAAGGACAGCAGTCCAAACTCCAGGACTGATCATTACATCCAAACAAACAATCATTACTCCGTCCCTTCCTGCTGATTCTCTTATATGACACTGATATATACACACCATTATTCCCACTCCACTCCAGCTCCCAGTAACAGTGTCCACACACACTCTCTCTACACAACACCTGATACCAATAATCAAATCTGTCTGGATGATCAGGATACGGCTGGACTGTGTCAGTGCCAGTAACCACTCTGTTGCTCTCAGACAGACAGAGCCGTTTATATGCTGTGTTCAGATCCAGAGTGAGCCGATGGGAATCTGATGGAGATAAAATCACATCAGAATCAGGAATTATGAATCAGTTTGATCTTTTCATGCAGCTGAACTCTTCATGTTCAGTGTATCATCAGTGTCTCAGTACAGATCAATCATCAATTATAAAACTCTTCTTTCAGCTTCTACAGGAAGAACATGAACACACTCAGTGAGTTTTTCTGCTTGTTTTCTTACTGACTTACATTGTATGAAGTCGTTCCTGGTCCAGAGAACAATGTTGGTGAATGTGACTGTGGAAATCAACAGACATGAACAGTGTGATTCTCATGATCCTGCATCCATTCCTAAGACATTTCTAATATGAGAATCAGGAGTTATTAATCTGTTTGATCTTTTCATGTAGCTGAACTCTTCATGTTCAGTGTATCATCAGTGTCTCAGTACAGATGACCAGATATCCTGAGCAAATCATCATTTACATCATCAATTATAAAACTCTTCTTTCACCTTCTACAGGAAGAACATGAACACACTCAGTGAGTTTTTCTGCTTGTTTTCTTACTGACTTACATTGTATGAAGTCGTTCCTGGTTCTGGGAACAATGTTGGTGACTGTGACTGTGGAAATCAACAGACATGAACAGTGTGATTCTCATGATCCTGCATCCATTCCTAAGACATTTCTAATATGATGTTCTCCATGATATGAGATGATGATGAACTAGTTTCTGAGAGCAGATGAATCTCCATGACTTTACCTCTGTCTGAGATCTTCTTGAGCTCCTCTTTGCAGGAATCCTCCAGTTTATCTCTCAGCTGATGGACAGATTCTCTCAGGTTATCAAAAGAGAAGAGAGAACTGAAGGGATCGTCATTTACGTCTGTATATTTAGGAGGTGCTGAGAGAGACTGGAAACTCTACAGAGTTAAAAACAAAAATAAAACTCATCAGCTCCACACTTCACCCAATAACTTGCACGAACATCAGATTTGTGCGGCTCTTGTTGAATTGACTGATCATTAATAACTCACCTCAATCCAGCACTTTCACAGCATCAGCTTAATTCTTTGCATATTCATTATATCACATGGCTACAGGTTCTAGTATTAGCCACTTACACTATATGTGAACTTTCTAGAAAATAGTGTGGATGATAAAACATCATCATCCACACAACTTCTCAAACATGACCCTGTATATTAAAGTGAAAGTGACATGACATGTGGCCAAGTATGGTTACCCATACTAGGAATTAATGCTCTGCATTTATCCCATCCTAAGTGCACACACACAGCAGTGAACACACACACACACCTGGAGCAGTGGGCAGCCATTTATGCTCAAGGACACCTTAGTCGTGGTATTGAAGGTGGAAGAGAGCGCTGTACATTTACTCCCCCCACCTACAACTCCTGCCGGACCCAAGACTTGAAATCACAACCTTTGGGTTACGAGTCTGACTCTCTAACCATTAGGCCACGACTTCCCCGAATATTAGCAATCAGACTCATCAGGATTTCAGTCAAAAATGCAAGGTGCCGCAAATAATGCAGTGTTTGATTTTGCATTAAATTTGGCAATTTTGCAATTCTGTATTGACTGAACAATGCTTTAGCGCATTGAAACCAAACAGAACCTGAGCATGTCTTAAAGGCATAGTTCACCCAAAAACAGAAAATTTGTTACTTTACTCACCTCAGGCCATCCTAGTTGTAGGTAACTTTTTTTTCAGTAGAACAGTAAAAAAGATTTTTAGCTGAAACCGTGGACCTTGGTGATTCAGAAAATGCAAGTCAGATGCTTCCTGTCTTTGAGAATAAAGAAAGTATATCAAGGAACACAAAATTATTACCTGTGAACTTATTCAGCGCTTCAGTTCCGCCAACAGTCACTGAACTGAGAACAGTGCGACTCGGACCAAAGACCGATGAGTCGCTGATTGGTGCATGTGTGAACCAAACACTTGAATGAAGGGAAGAAATAAGTGTTTTTATGGTTTCTCATTGTTTAAGTAAAAAGGTAAAAAGGCAAGTTTATTCACTTTACATGCATTAGACATGTAAAACATCCACATTTCACAACATTATTGGGTGCTTTAATATTCTAATTGTGTATACATGAAGTCATTGCGTGTTTACATAAATAAACTAGTGAACTGAACCGGTTCATTGAAAACAACTCTGGATTTCCACGTTGCCTGAGGGTCTGGATTACCGGTAGCAATGTTCAGAGCAATGTTGTAAATTATGTTCGGTTTCTTGTACAGACAGATAGTTTCACAGATAGTTAAGACCTCAATATAATGTCAGTGCCACTTCATTTTGCGTTTTCTGATTTGCTTTATTTTATTGTCAGAAACATGCAGCCGCTGACTTGCATTATGTCTGTCACGATTTCCAGGAGGAGTGCCCATGAGCTTCTATAGAGGGCACTCCATCCCTTACCTTCACCTTCTCACCCCATCCCAACTCCATTGTCATGCCGCCTGTAACAGAAGACTCAGCCATACCCGGATTCAGCAGCTATTTGATTGTTTCCAGGCCAATCATGGACCCAGCAATCAGGTTAGCATGCCTCTGTCAGGGAATGCATTTTCTCGAGGACCACATTCAAGACTTTCTGGAAATTGCATATTTCTCTGATCTCCCGGACTTTGCACTCATTGACTTTTTCTGTAAATGGACAAAATAAACCATTGAAGTAGATACTCACTCGTGATGGTCCTCGAGGGTCACGTTTGTCAGTTTCTGGATTATGCCCTGCTGTTATGTGGTTCCTCCTTCATTGGCGGGGCTGTTGAGGATGATGTTTCCCCTAAACAGAAAAGGACACACCAAGCTCTGGTGGCCACGGAGCTTGGCTCGTCAAGATCACCACCATGTCATGTTATTATGTTCGCCACTCCAGTGTTTTTAGTATCTTCCTGTCCTGTGGTCCCTGCACCTGAGCCAGTTCATAACATGGCCGCCATTCCAGAGCCTCATCCTGTCATGGCCACCCCTCCAGAGTCTCTTCACAAGATGGCCGACATGCCAGAGCTTCCAGCCATCATGGATGTCCTGCCACAGTCCTGGCTGTCATAGAAACTGTTCCCCTATCCTCAGTGATCCCTGTAATGGCCATCCTGTGTGTTTGTGCTACACTCTGCTCTACTCATCCTCCTGAGCCTGCTCCAGTCCACGAATCCGCTTCAGAACCTACTCCGGTCTGTGGGTCTGGTCCGGAGTCCACTTCAGTTCATGAGTCTGCTCCAGCTCCTCCTGAGTCAAAGGAGTCTACCTCAGCTCCTCTCTGGGTGGTGGCTACCACTTCTTAACTCTCAGTTTGTCCTGTCCTGGCCAAGGAGGCCGTCTCTGATCTCTCAGCCTGTCCTGTCCCGGGCCAAGGAGGCTGTCTCTGAACTCTTCGCCTGTCCTGTCCCAGCCAAGGAGGCCGTCTCTGAAGTCTTTGACTGTCCTGTCCCGGGCCAAGGAGGCCGTCTCTGAAGTCTTCATCTGTCCTGTCATGCCCAAGGAGGCCATCCCTGAACTCTCAGCCTGTCCTGTCCCGGGCCAAGGAGGCCGTCACTGAAGTCTTCGCCTGTCCTGTCCCGGCCAAGGAGGCCGTCTCTGAAGTCTTTGCCTGTCCTGTCCCGGCCAAGGAGGCCATCTCTGAAGTCTTTGTGTGACATGTCCCGGGCCAAGGAAACCGTTTCTGATCTCTCAGCCTGTCCTGTCCCAGCCAAGGAGGCCGTCTCTGAACTCCATGTATGTCCTGTCCTGGCCAAGTAGGCCATCTCTGAAGTCTTTGCCTGTCCTGTTATGACCAAGGAGGCCATCTCTGATCTCTCAGCCTGTTCTGTTACAGCTGCAGAGTAGTCCTCAGCACCATCAGCTCCACCCTGGTGGTCATCAGCTCCACAGTGGGGATCTTCGGTCTCATCTGCTCAGCTGTGGTGGTCCTCAGCTCTGCCCTGGTGCTCTTCAGCTCCAACAGCTCTGCCCTTTTCGTCCTCAGCTCTGCTCTGGTGGTCTTCGGCTCCACCTGCTTAGCAAACTCTGCCTCAGTCACCAGGTCCTCCAACTCCACAGGGACCTCGCCCTCCATCCCTCCCCCTGTTCCGCCTCCCTCCTGGACTTCTGTGACCCTTTGGGGAGCACCTGGAAGCCGCTTCTTAAGTGGGGAGGGCTCTGTCACGATCTCCAGCTAGAGTGCCCATGAGCTCCTCTAGCGGAATCTCCATCCCTTACCTTCACCTACTCACCTCGGACTCCATTTCCCAGAAACCCCAGCCTAGGAACTGATTATGGACACATCTGTTTCCCATTAGGAGTACTATTTATGTTGCACTCACACATTGCTGGTTCTTGTTTAGCTCTTTAATAAAGCTTGCACTTGGATCCACTATCTGTTTTTACGCTGCCTGTAACAATATCACCAAGGAACACATTTTCAGCTAAAAACTAATTATTTGCAGCACCTTGAATTTTATTCTGAAATCCTTGTGGGACTGATTGCTAATATACAGCATCACTTCATGTTTGGGGTCTTCATTGTCAAATTAATCATGCAGGCAAATACAATTATTTTTATCAGCTTTAAAGATCACCTGTTCCAATTTTTTTTTTAAGTTGAAAAGTTAGTGAAGTTTTGAACTGTTGGTGACGCTAGTGGTGTTTGACATCTAAATATATCTTCCAGAAGAAAGAGCTCAGAGAAATTATTCCTAAGAGATTTTCAGAGCTGAAAGCCATTTGTAAGTGGCGCCTCTTTTCAAAAGAAGAGGATCAGATGAGAGTCTAACTAATTATTTATTATAATAAAAAGACTGATGATTATATAATAAGACACTCATGAAATGTTTCTCTGTGAGTCTCTGTCACAGCAGGATCTGCTCAAGTCCACTATGATCCTGTTCTTCTAGATCTCTGTTACCTGCAGGAACTGGATGTGATCCTGTGTGTGTGAAAGCTGCTCCAGCTCAGCGTCTCTCCTCCTCAGATCATTGATCTTCTTCTCCAGTCTCTCCAGTCGTCCTTCAGCTCGACTCACTGCGGCCTTTTCCTGAGCTCTGATATCAGGAATCAGGAGCCACATCAGCTCAAAGCAGCTTCTCTCAATGGAGCAGTTGAGCTTAGTAAAGATCCTCTGCTCACTGACCTCCACTGCTGTCTGTGCAGAGCGCTGTTAGGACACACAGTGATTCAGGCTTCAGTGAGTCTGAACTGAGACTGAGACAAACTTCTCTTCTTCTCCAGACTCACCTTATGAGACTCCACAGCCTCTCTCAGCTGCTGAAGATCTTTCTCTCTCTGCTGGATTCTCTGCTGGAACGTCTTCTGCGTCTCCTTCAGCTGCTTCTGCAGGACAAACAGATGATAGTAAATCTCACAGAAAACTACTGTCACTAAATCATGTGAACAGATGAATCCAGTAAAAGTCGAACTGATAACTAATGGCTGTAAACTCCAGAAAGGATGATTGAGTGTTTACCACTATTGTACATGAATTAACATGAAGATTAAAACTTGTTTCACACTACAAGTGTAAGCACTAATTTTAAATACCTGTTTCTCTGTCCTCTGTGCTGCAGCTGATACAGTGTCATGGTTTTTATGTTCAATAATCGTACACAGCATGCATATACATTTCTGATCAGTGCGACAGAAAACCTCAAGGAGCTTCTCATGTTTCTGGCAGATCATCTCCTGCAGTCGTCCAGTGGCATCAATCACTTTGTGTGGCTTACGTGAATGAAACTCCTCATGATGCTCAAAATGAGTTTGACAGTAAGATTCCTGACACACCAGACAGGACTTGACGGTGTCATGATTTTTATGTTCATATATTGTACACAGCTCACAAATGCATTGTTGGTCAGTAATACAGTACATTTCTAGATGTTTCTCATGTTTCTGGCAGATCATCTCCTGCAGTCGTCCAGTGGCATCAATCACTTTGTGTGGCTTACGTGAATGAAACTCCTCATGATGCTCAAAATGAGTTTGACAGTAAGATTCCTGACACACCAGACAGGACTTGACGGCTTTGTATTTTCTTCCAGTACAGACGTCACACTGCACATCTCCAGCTCCAGCGTAACAGTCAGCAGTAAGTTTGGTCTCCTTCAGTTTCTCCACCAGATCATCCAGCATGGTGTTTCTAGCTAAAGTAGGTCTTGGACTGAAGGTCTGTCTACACTGAGGGCAGCTGTAGACTCTCATCTGATCCTCCAGATCCCAGCAGACTGTAATACAGCTCTTACAGTAACTGTGTCCACAGGGAATGGCCACGGGATACGTCAGGAGATCCAGACACACTGGACACGTCAACTTATCCTGAGAAATTCTGGCTTCTGCCATTTTACTGCATAAATACAGAGACACAAACACACAACAACTCAGTCACACTTTTGCTTTCTTTTTCCCTTAAGTCATGTGATTCCTGTTTCCTGGTTCTGTGTTTGAGTGATGTGTGTAAAACTGGCGTGCCTGTGAGTCTGTAAAGCATGAAATGTCTACTAGATGTCAGTTTCAGACAAACACTCAAAAAAATGCAAGTTACAGAGAAACAGGAAAACAGCCTTAAAACGTGCAGTAATAACTGCATCGTAATTCTGACAGAAGTACTAGACAAAACTACTGAAATCTACTGAAACTTTATGCAGATTGATAAGACAAATTCCAATAAAGCACATTTTCAGAACATTGCTCGTTTTCTGTAAGGGTCCAGAACTATTATAGTTTAATACTGTATTTACTAATTGTACAAATAGTTAACTACTAACTTGTACACTTAAAATAATCAAAACATTTCTCTCTTGTAAATATGTAATGTACATTTTAAACCATTTTCTTTATTCATTCAATAACTTAATTCTCATATATACATACAAAAAAAATTCTCAATGTATATACACACACAAACATATATATATATATATATATATATATGTGTGTGAGTGTGTGTGTGTGTGTGTGTGCACGCGCATGTATGTATCTGTCTATTTTTCCAATATCATTTCCATTGTCCTCCTATTATAAACAGATTTCAGGCACAAATAAACAATTAATTTTAGAATAAACACTTATTTACACATTAAACATCAAAGTCTAACTTGTTAACATAAAATTTCCACGTGCATCTGATGCTTTCCTGTAAACAAAATGGAGTCGCTACACACCCTCTTACCAGTTACTGTGCATCAGTTAACTCATTCAAACACATAAAACAGTTAAAATAGCCACTATAAAAAGTGAAACATTATGCATTAACCCATTTTATACTTTTTACCAAACATTATCCCTCATACCTGAAAAGGGGGGAAAATATTAATACCAGACAAAACTCCAGCTGTGTTCTCTCTGCTGAAACTTCATGCAGATTGAGAAAACCCGCGAAAGTTCCCCCTAGTGTCTCGTCAGGCAAAACTAATCAATCACCAACATACCTTAGTTTAACTAATATATCACAGATCCTCAAGAAACAATGAAAACTAACTCTCCATTTGGATTATTTGAACAATCCATTTTAAACTTTTTAATCATTTTATGAACTCTTTTTAATCATGTTTCTTTTTGGATTATATTATGACATTTCTTAATTACCATTTTAATGGTACACTCCCCTACAAAAATTAACGTAATCTCCACATATTTAATAGGGTTTCACACATATTTTGTAGTGCCAGAGTTCTTGTAACTGTTCAGCATTTCAGCATTGCAGGATTGTCCCAAACATGATAGTTCACTTTTTATATCAAAGCAACAGTTTATGAAAAATAACAGTCCATAAATGTTTTAAAGTGCAACAATTTAAAGAGGCATGAAAGAACGGTCTACCTTTTCTTTGGCAATCGAGAGTCCAAGAGTCTACAGCCTGAATGGTTGCACCCAGAGGTGGGACCAATGCATTGTTTTGCAAGTCACAAGTAAGTCTCGAGTCTTTACATTCAAGTCTCGATTCAAGTCCCAAGTCAAGACAAGTCCCAAGTCAAATCCCGAGTCAAGACGAGCAAGTCCAAGTCGAGTTGCAAGTCCTCAACTTTAAGCTTCAAGTAAATATTTAATAACTTGCTAATACAAAGCTAATACAGAAGCTCATTTATCGCAACCTACTGACATAGGAATAGACATAACAAGATATAACAGAAATAGACATAACTTTATTGACATGATTGTTGGGTATTATTTATAATGTTTTATATATGGATATTTTTCTTACAAAAACGCATCGATTCACTACAGGAGGCCCCCGTGAGGCACATTTTATAATAGATGGATGCATTTTATTTGACTACTTTTGGACTGTTGAGAAAAAGAAAAAAAAACACTGTCTACTGCCATTCTAAAACTTGGAAGAGCAAGGATAATTTTTAATATACCTCCGATTGGATTCGTCTGAAAGAATAAAGTCATATACACCAAAGATGCCTTGGGGATGAGTAAGACATGGCCTAATTTTCATTTGTGGGTGAACTAACCCTTTAAACTTAATATTAAACATACCATATTAATATAAAAAGGCAAAGAGAATAATATATTTCTTTTTTTATAATCAGCATGACAAAATGCATTAAACATTACATCAGTGTTTCACAAACTGGCCTTAGTGCAAGAACTGTAATGTGTTTTTGAGTTGATAGAAAGTTAATAATTAATTAAATCCTAAAAAATGTAAAGTAAAAAAAAACACTTAACCCTCGAACACTAATAATACATATATTTGATTTGTTTGCATGTCAATATGGTCATTAACCTATCAGAAGTTGTTTGTGCTGATGAGGACGATAAAACAGATTTAGATACAAAATAGTAAGTAAAACACAACCATAACACTGAAGTAAAGGCAGACAACTCCAGATAAAAGAACAGAACCAATAGACAGGGGGTAACAAGCTAACTAATGAGGCAACTGGCAAAAGAATGATTAATCAAATGAACTGAGAAACTAGGTCAAACAACACACAAGGAAGACAGAACCAAAACAGAACATAATTGTGACATAATGCCCCTTCCAGGAAGGCAAGGCCTCACAGTGTGAGATGACCAAGGAGGTGTCCCTGAAGGTGGACGAGAGGCTGGTGAAGGACAGGTGACTAATGAATCCAAGGAGTAAATGGTGAGCGGAGCTGAGGAGATGACAGTGAAAGTAACCATGAAGGAGGAAACTTGAGCCTGACCAACAGAAGTAACACCGGGAGATGAGGTCCAGGTGACGTCTGATGGACAAAAAAAAAAAGAGACCCGGTAAAATCGAAGGACTTAGAGTCTAAGGTGGAGTTCCGGCATCAAGCGGCTGAAGAGGAGCCAGGGTGCCAGAGGATGTGGTGATGATAAAGTAAGAAAAGATGGAGCCTGAGGGAAGGAGAAGCCTGATGAAGCCGTAGGGGTGAAGTGATGGAGTCCATGGCAATGGTGGAACGATGACTGACCAGTGGCATGAGGAAGCCTAGAGGAACCAACAAGACAATGGTCCTGGGTGGAGCCTAGGGGGCAAGGAGCCAGGGCGGAGCTGATTGGTCGACCAAGGGACGAGGCAGAGCATTGGACTCCTCAAGCCATGGCAGAGCTGGGGACTGGAAGCCCTAAGGCAGATCAGGGCTGCATGGCAGAGGCTGATGGTGGAGCTGAAGGAATGGCTGGCTTCAGTGGAGTGTACAGAAGAGGAAGACTGGGTGAGGAAGCAGACTCAGTGATGGACAGGACTGGTGCGATGAAGAACACTCTTTGCTGGGTGTGACTGGTGACAACAAAGATACCAGCTGAGTGGAATCAGCGACAACGAAAACACACAGGAGGAAGGTTCATGGGTGGGCAGGTTGGGAAGCACTACCTCCATTTGTCAGACAATTAACTATATTTGCTTATCCAGTTCCACTAAAATCCTCACTGATAAGGACGATTTGGTCAGTTCACACACCTGATCAGCCAGGATCTTGGGCTCCTTTTCCAGGATGTATGTGGTTGCTGGCTCTAGCTCCTTAGCAGGCATTGACTCAGGCTTGATTTCTGTGGTGGGAATGAGCTGGGCCTCTCGATAACACCAGACAAAAGAACCGAACCAAACTGGCAGTAGACAGGGGATAACAATGTAATTGAAAGCTAATACATTTCATCACTCAGCAAAACTCTCTCTCACACACACACACACACACACACATATCTTACTATCTATATGAGGATTTATTACAAACAGTCATTCTGACATTGTTACTATTTCAGTAACAAAAGTTCAGCTGCATTATTAATGTCATGAAGAGAAAAGAAGAGCCTCTATAGCATCTCACTGTTACTGATTTATGATGCAGCTCAAAGCCACACATATCTTACTATCTATATGAGGATTTATTACAAACAGTCATTCTGACATTGTTACTATTTCAGTAACAAAAGTTCAGCTGCATTATTAATGTCATGAAGAGAAAAGAAGAGTCTCTATAGCATCTCACTGTTACTGATTTATGATGCAGCTCAAAGCATTATAGGTACAATTTCTTGTCAGTCTATTCTGATTCATCAACACAGTTTCACTGATGATCCTCTATAAACAGTAAACCCAGGATAGAGCGGCTGAGTGAATGTGGGCTGGACTGTGTGGATGAGGCTCATTGTGTCAGAGATGCTGTAGAAGGTTCCTGCGCTGTGATCCACAAACACTCCTATTCTACTGCTGATGGACTCTACAGGGAGATCAGTCCATATGTTATTGTGTTTGAATGAGTAACTGGAGGGAGTGCAGTTCAAACTCCGGGACTGATCAGTAGATCCAAACAAACCTTTATTACCCAAACCCTTCCTGCTGATGCTCTTATATGACACTGATATAAACATGTTCACTCCACTCCAGCTCCCAGTAACAGCGTCCACACACACTCTCTCTACACAACACCTGACACCAATAATCAAATCTATCCGGATGATCAGGATACAACTGGACTTTGTTAGTGCGAGTAATCACTCTCTTCCTCTCAGACAGAGAAAATCTCACTTCAAAAATTGCGGAGTTAGAGGACAGGTTTCGCTGTAATAATGTGCGTCTGGTGGGGCTCGTACAGGGCCGAGAAGGGATAACCCAATAGGTTTCCTTCAAAAGATGCTCCCTACCTGGATCACCTGCTGCGTTTCTTCGCCGACTACAGCGGGGTCACCTCCCATAGGCGACAGGCCTTTGGAAGTTTTCAAAAGGAGCTGCATGTGCTGGGAATTCCAAACTTCCTCATTTACCCTGCCATTCTTTATGTCAGTTCTGGTGGTAATCAACACTCATATTGTTTATTTATTTGTTTGTATATTTTATATTTATTTTATTATTATAATTGTTTAAACCTACTTATTTATTTTCTGTCCATTAATTTGGTGACGCACTCTCACTCTGTTGATTTTATACATATATTTTTGACTGTCATTACAGTTTATACTATGCATGTTGTTATACTTCTGTTTCATGTTCAATGGAAGAGGGTGGTTGACGTTGACTTCCTGGTGAAGAAAGGTAGATGTTGCCACAGGCTCTTATAATGTTGGGGGATTTTGCGGTCTCGGATGGGGGGTATTTGTTCATGTTATTTCTATGTATCTTTTGCATGATTTTGGTTTTGTCACAGGTCAGGCAGACATATTTTGGTTATGCAAAACTTCTTAAAATTTGCAAAATTGTCCCAATCGATTATGGATAAATTCAAAGTTATATAGCTTAATATCAGAGGCCTTAATAGTCCAAACAAAAGAGCCAAATGTTGATCTATTTGCACAGGAAAACAGTTGATATCGCTTTAATTCAAGAAACCCATCTAAAGAGAGCAGATGTTCAGAGGTTACAGAATAAATTTTATAGAGTGGCAGCTTTCTCTACTGACAATACTAAAACTAAATGTATTATTGTTTTGATCTCTCATAGCTGTAACCTCAAAATTGATTGAGAGAGCCAAGATCAATCTGGTAGACTTGCCTATGTTTGCACAAACATTAAGTTTAACCAGTTTGATGTAGATTTCAAGGCCGATCTATATGAATTTCTTTCACTTAATATTGGCTCGGTTGAAGACCCAATATTTGTTTGGGAAGCCACGAAAGTTTTTAATCTTTCGTTTTTTTTTCATCAGTTCAGAAAGATCAGTATGCTTTCTGGGTACAAAATCAATTGGGATAAATCATCTTTGCTTTCACTTAATTGCATGGCTAAAAAAGTTAAGACTACCATGTAATGTTCCCATACACACTTCCATTAGTTACTTTGGCATTATTGTTCAATCATCCCTGCAGGTTATTCCAGATGCCAGCTATCTGCAAACTCTAACTAGGGTGGAGCAAGATCTCCAAAGATGGATCTCGATGCTCTTATCACTGCATGCAAGAATAGCAAGTGTTAAAATG